GAATCTATGAACAAAAGTTCCTTGTGTATTGATAAGATGCTCATGATGATGAGACTTCAAGTTTCTTTCCCATGAATGTGTCCCACACTCAAATAATCAAAACCCTAGCTCAAGGATTAAAAGATAGGAGAATGTGACCAACCCCCAATATTTTGCAATATTTAATCATCTGATGAAGTGATGGACATGTTGATATGTCTTAAGGCATGAGAAGCCCTTGTAGCTTGAGTGAACATGAAATTGAGGATATCCCATCCTCCTTACATTTATTGTCAAATCTCTCTCTTTTATTGTTTGAAGAAAACCAAAAGAACAAGAACACCTTGATCCCATCTCAATCCATGAACGTGTATGTTAAAGAAACATAAGACAATTATGGTAGAAAAGAAAAGGGTAAATTTTGAGGTGCAACAACAACCACTCCACCACGCCGGAGATGGCGATCGTAGTGGAAACTTCCAAAAAACAAAACAAACACCGCATTCTAACTCGAAATCATCCACTAAACAAGAAATTAGACTTAGTTTTCTTAGATTATTACTCAAAGTAAAGCAATCAAGAAAATATGCAAAAACCCTAACCGATTCAGCATGAAATTACATCATACATGTGCACAATCACAGCCTATTTTCATAGGACTTCAGCTCGTGTTATCCCAAGCATGGTCTTATAAACAAAAATAAATGGAAATGATGCGTAAAAGTTGAAGAACCAAAAGCCCATGTAATACTTAACAGAGTAAGTTCGTTGCTTCTTCAGACCACAAAATGAGATCAAGAAACGATGTAGAAAGCTTCACAGATACTTGAGAATTATAGATCAAAGCTTGTTTCACCTTGAATCTGACTGTGGTTCTCCAAACAACTTTGAATAGATGATGAAGAATATGAAGCTAGATCAAACAATGTGTTGAATACATATGAGAAGAAATGCATTCAGAAGGGTCTTATGTATGTTTGTGTCTTATGTATGTATGTTTAACTTGACCGTGTTTTGTTACCCTTCAGATTTATGAAAAACTTGCCTCAATTTTTAGTTGTTTAATGTATGTTTGTGTCTTATGTATGTTTGTGTCTTGATTCCATGAAAATAATTAAATTGTCTAAAGAATGACTTTTCATTATCCTATTAAATTTATAGGTTTTATCTACATGAGTGTTAATTTCTTGACTTTTCAGTACTCTCTTCTCAATTACTACTCCTACTATTATTAGTTGAATCCATAAAGTACTAATGTTAGGTGTATCTTTTACTGTCATAGCATATCTTACGTTTTGATTTAGAATTTGTCGATAGTTTCACAATTGTTTTAAACTATTTGAATTTTTTTTTACAATAACTAAATATTAAAATAATATTCGTAAATAACCGCGTTTTGAAAAAAATTATGTAAATAATCATGTTTCGAGTGACTCCCCAAAGAAGGAGCCATCTCACTTGGCGTCTCCACCCATATATTTGCCCTATGCGCCATCTCACTTGGCGCCTCCCTTCACTTTTAGCCAAGTGAGATGGCGCATGCTCCTTAAAAGTGAGAGGAGGCTCCATCTCACTTGGCTTCTAGGGCAAAATGCTGTTTTATAAATAATTCGTCCGTTTCTCTGAAATTTCGCACACTTTCTCGCACTGTATTTTTATTTTTTACTCTGTTATTTGCGCCATGACGTCGCCCATGATTTTTAGCAGAGATGGATACGTTATCTTCTCCGCCACGAAACCTGCGATGAAAATGAAATTCTGGCACATTCACTCCATGGAGCGTCTGAAGCGGGAGTTGATGCGATGGCTAGATGGAGACATTGCGGAGGGGGAAAAATTCGAAGGATCCAGCGAAAATGAACAACAACCTCACATGCGACAGGAAGACCTAATGTATGGTTGGAGGAAGTCAAAACAGACAGCGATGTAATGTTGATGATGCATGTGTCAGATGAAATTGTGTTAACAGTTGTAATTTCGTAGACGGAATATCGTTAATTTTTCTTGTACGCGCAATATTTATTGTAGCAAAATCTGTTAACGGAAAACTCTATATTCTTGTCTTGGCAGGCCTTCGTTGGGGTCGATTGTCTCTTTTACAAGTGAGATGGCGCTAGGGATGGCAAGCAGACCCAAACCCGCGGGCCCCACCCGCACCCTAGTCAACGGGTGAAACCCGAATTGACTGGGTTTGGGTTCGGGTTCGGGTGCCACCCGATATTTCGGGTGTGGGTTTGGGATAGCTTAAACCCGCACCCGAAACCCGAAACCACACCCGCTTATATGTTAAATTACAAAACTATCCCTAAATATATATATATATATTTCAATAATTAAAAATAAAATGTAGGGTTTATTGTTCAGTATATCACATCTTGAGAGACAAAAAAACCAGAACAAAATTTCTCCTTCATCCTCCTCACGACTCCCTCTGAACTCTCCTTCTCCAGCTAGCCACTCAATCTCCCTGCTACCTACCATCATCCTCGTCACCTTCCAATCCCTCACTCCCATCCGCCTACCCGCAACATACTCCCTCATCGAACAACCAAGTAACACTGAAACCTTCCAACAACCACTATCCCCCTCAGCTTCCGCGGCCATTCCCTCCGAACTCCAATCAACGTCTCGCGAACCAGCCTCCCTCCACCGTAAACCCTTCCTTCCATTTCGGCTTCCTCTCTTCTGTGAACATCATCATCCGCGCAACAGAAACCAGCTCGCACAATCCGTCACTACTTCTGATTCGACTCAGCACCGCCATCATTGTTGGTAAAACACTCTCACTATTTTTCTTCCTGGCTTGTGATTCTATTAATGGTAATGAGAAATTGATTTTGTTTTGGTTTTAAATGTTGTAGCTAATGGATATTATTGTTGAGATATTGGTGATTATGGTTGATTAGTATTCAAATTGATTTTGTTAGATTGTTTTGTTGATAAGGTGAAATTGTTGTTGTGATTTGTGGAAGTGTTGGTGATGATATTGTTAATTTAAGGGAGAAGTTGATTTGTTGTTCTTGGGTTATTGTTGAAGATAATTGTGTTTTGAAATTTAGAAGGATTGATGGCATTGTTATGTTACTGCTATGTTATATTTTCATGTAGGTACTAATGGTATGAGTGAATTGGTAGCATAGTTCTTGACCATAACATAATTGTTATTGAATCAATGTCTTGATACCATGCTTATATGTGTTGAACCAGAGTGAGATTTTGGTATCAATGTCACTTTATCCGTGTTGATTTTGAGTAATAGAGTTTGGTTAATATTGGTGTTTGTTCGTGAATCTTTGGTGTCGACACCATTCTATTTAATCTAAGGTGTTTGCGATTATGAATCTTGTGGTGGTATGTTTTTCCGTGCCTTCTTAAAGTCTCATTTTCTTTTATACAATTGTTTATGAAATTTCTTGTTGTTTGTAGTAGGTAAAATGGATCAAGTGAACACAACCCCGGAACCAGAAGGAGCATCTAATCCTACACAAGAAAGTACATGTCCAACTCAGGAGGTATCTTCTAATCCGAATCCGACACCTGAACCTGATATTGGGCAACAAGAAGAAATCGATACAATTTTAGAACCTGCATCAAAGAAACTTAGAAGTAATGTGTGGCAAGAATTTAAAAAGATGAAAGTGAATGGAAAAGATAAGGCTGAATGCATCTGGTGTAAAAAACAACTTAGTGGCACTTCAAAGAATGAAACAAATCACTTGAAAGGACATCTCTTGAGTTGTATTCAAAAAAAGATCAAGACTAGAAACCATGACAAAGGACAACCATTTCTCCTACCGACTATCTCAGAAGGAAAGCAAGAGTTGGGAATTGGAACTTATGATCCAGAACATGTGAAGAAGTTGATTGCTGAAGCTATTATTATGCACGATTATCCACTATCAATTGTGGATCACATTGGTCTTATAAGAGTCTTTGTTTCTCTCCAACCATTGTTTAAAGTTCCTACTCGAAACACAATCAAGAAGGAGGTATTGAAAGTTTATGATTTTGAGAAAAAATGTGCTATGAAGATGTTAGATAACCATGAAGGGAGAGTGGCAATTACCACAGATATGTGGACTTCAAGCAACAAAAAAAAAGGGTATATGGCAGTTACGGCTCACTATATTGATGGCTCGTGGACTTTACAGAGTCGAATCTTGAGGTAACAATGTTTATATTTTATAACTTAATTGTATCTTTTTTTTTTGTTCTTAATGACAATAAGTGAAAGACTTGTTTTTTGTAAATATTATGTTAGGTTCATTTATGTTCCAGCCCCTCACACTAGTGAAAGACTTGCTGAAGCACTTGTTAATTGTTTAATGGACTGGAACATTGATTCAAAGCTTTCTACGATTACTTTAGATAATTGTAGCACAAATGACTCAATGATTAGGAAAATTAAGGATAAGTTGTCGTTGGAATGTTTAATAAGGGATGTGTCTTTGTTACATATGCGTTGTTGTGCGCACATCCTAAATTTAATTGTTCAGGAGGGGCTACAAGTGATTAAGGATGGCATAGAAAATATTCGGGATAGTGTAGGATTTTGGAGTGCTACACCTAAAAGATATGAAAAATTTGAAGATACCGCTAGACAATTGAGAATTATTTGCACTAGAAAGTTAGCTCTAGATTGTCCAACAAGATGGAATAACACATATAAGATGCTTGATATTGCCATAGAGTACAAGGATGTATTTATTCGGTTGAAGCAACGTGAGTCTTTGTACACTTGTCTTCCAACTAATTCACAATGGCAATTTGCTAAAGATGTTTGTGGGTGCTTAAAATTATTTAATGAAGTAACTGAGTTGATTTCTGGTACAAAATATCCAACTGCCAACTTGTACTTTCCTAAGATTTGTAAGATTAAGTTGGCAATAGAGGAATGAAAGAAGTCCTCCAATTCAATTATTGAGATGATGGCCACAAGAATGATGGAAAAATTTCAAAATTATTGGAGTGGTGTTCATGATATGATGGGAGTTGCTGCAGTTTTGGATCCTAGGAAGAAGATGGTTGTACTTAATTTCTGGTTTCCTAAGTTGTATGGAGAAGAATCAAGTGCACAAGTTAGTAGAACCAAAGACATGTATTATGATTTACTCAATGATTATCAACAGATTAAACTTAGAGATGCACAACCTACTGCTCCATCCATTGGTACAACTGCTATTATTGATGACGAGGCTGAATTTGATGCATACGTTGAGACAATTGCCGTTGCCGAAGACTCAAGTTCAAGTGTTAAGTATGAGTTAGATCATTATTTGAAAGAGCCAGTTATAAAAAATACTCCAGAATGTGACATTTTGAATTGGTGGAAGGTAAATGGAGTTGTGTATCCAACACTTCAAGCAATTGCAAGAGATGTGTGAGCTATTCCTATCTCTACAGTAGCTTCTGAATCGGCCTTCAGTAATAGTGGTAGAATATTGAGTCCTCATCGTAGCCGACTTAACTGGACTACCGTAGAGGCTTTGATGTGTGCTAGGAGTTGGCTATGGGCTGCTGAGAATAACGGTATGTCATTGTCAAATTATTTTTACTTTCTACCTTAATTTTTTTGTTATATAATGTATTACTACTTTGGTATGTCATTGGCAAATAATATATTACTAATTTTTCTTGTTATATAATATATATATAGGAATTTTTAGAGTTGCAGAAGAAATTGCTACTGTGTTGAATGAAATGGAGTCAGACGATGAAGGTATTTTGTACTTCATTTGGTGTAGAAGTTTTAAGCTTTAGTGTTTTATTTAACATCAATTTATTTGTTAATACAGCTGAGTTGATGGAAGGTTGTTTGGGTTACCATTTTGAAGATTAGAAGTTGTTGTTTCTATATGTTAACATGGTGAGTATTATTGTTTCTATCTCTACCATTGTTGCCCCGACTAATTTGCACTAATGCTTTTGATATTAGACAGTTCTTTTAGTGTTGTGCTTATGTTTCTAGACAGTTCAAAAACATGATATTTAACGCGCATGCAAGCATGCTGAAAGTTAGTAGATAAACATTATTATAGGCAGTTTTATTCCAGTTGCAAACATGATAAATTATCAAGAATATGACATGTTAAAATTATTACAATTTAAAAGCGATATGTTATCTGTGTTGTAAGCTATTACATCTCTGTATGTATCAAGAAGTGGTCTAAAGGATTCTTCTTATTACAATTTAAAAGTTCAGCATTACCAAGAATTAAGTTACATGTTTTATATGTTTTAAGTTTCACATGTTTGTTATTACAATTTAAAATTATGATGATAATATCTATTAGTGTTTCTTAACATGTGAAATATATTTTCTTTGTAATAGGTAAAATAGATCAAGTGAACACAACTCCGGAGCCGGAAGGAATATCTAATCTTACACAAAAAAGTTGTAATATATTAGCTTGTTGTTGTTGAAAAGTTGTAATTTGATTGTAGAATTTAATTTTAATTGTAATGTTAAGATGTTGAAGACTATGTTAAGATAATTGTGATTGCATTTTCTTGAAGACAATGTAAAGAGACCTTATTTTAATTGTAATTTTTTTTTTGATTTTTGGTGCGGGTTTGGGTTTGGGTGAAAAAACCCGAACCCAACGGGTGCGGGCGCGGGTGTGATTTTGTCACCCGAATAGCCTTCGGGTTCGGGTTTGGGTGAAAAAACCTGAACCCAACGGGTGCGTGCGCGGGTGTGATTTTGTCACCCGAATAGCCTTCGGGTTCGGGTTCGGGTTCGGGTGATGATTTCGGGTGCGGGTGTGGGTAGTGTGAAACCCGCACCCGACCCGTTGCCATCCCTAGATGGCGCCTCCCCTTAAAAAATGGGAGGATGCGCCAAGTGAGATGGCTCATCCTTTAGGGAGTCATCTGAAACATAGTTATTTGCGTAATTTTTTTCTGAAACGCGGCTATTTGCAAAAAAAAATTTTAATACTTGATTATTCAAAAAAAAAATTCAAATTATTTTCCCGTATCAATAAATATTTATTAAACTCTATTTGTAATTGTCATTTCATAAAAAATATACTTTTATTTATATGTAATTTAGAGAATTATACTACGGTTTTAATTATTATTTAATTAATAATATTTATATTTAATTTTATGGGATACATTTAAAATATTAATTAATTAATTCAATTTTATTTTTGTTTTAAAATAAATTTTTTTGGTATTATTTTATAAAAATTCAATTTACTAAATATGATTTTTCTTATATTATTCTAGATAAACAAATATTATATATTTAATGAAAAATAATACAAATATTTTTTATTAAAATGATACAAAAATAATATAAGAAATCATTTATTATGTTAAACAAATAAATAATCATTTTGCGACTCATGTACACATGAGTTTTTTACTAATATAATTTATAAAGGTAAATCCTACTCATCAATGTTATGTTAAACAAAAATTACGTTGGCCCCAAATCAATTCAATCCGTCCAAAATTAACTTCGTACCATATTTTAACATGATGTCACCTCGTGCTCGGTTTTAAAAGGTTTAGCAGAATAAAAAAAAAGAATCTTAATTCTCAACCGTTCCTTATTTTCTGCAAAAAGAAAAAAAAAACATATGATGCATTATTTTCAGGAAAAATCATGCAAACCTATAAAAGATCGAGAGAAAAAAAACACTTAAAATAAAATCAGAATCACGTGATTACGCTGAATCTCAAGATAGGTGTCTTGAGTTACATGTGGCACATATAAAATCCCACACCTCTTAACTCCTATCAGAGAGACAGAACAAAAACACTCTCTCTTGACTCTTGGAAGAAAAAGTTGTCACTGTTACAAGACTCGATCAATGGCTTTCTGTTACAAACTCGACAACTTCATCATCTCTGCGTTTAAACCTAAATACTCAAATGTCCCACTTTCAATTCATCATTCATCATCATCATCATCCAATTTTCCATCTCCTTTCAAAGCTCAAAACTTTCCTTTCAGGGTTCGATGTAATTCAGCTATTAGAGCCACTTCATCTTCCTCTTCTCCTCCCACTACCATTGCAGAACCTAATGGCATTAAGGTTCTCTTTTTCCCTTCACACATTTGATTTTTGATCAAGTAGTCTAGTCTAGTGGCTGGAATTCATCAGATGAATAAACGGGATGTCACTGGTTTGTGGGTTCGAACTGCATCTGAAGTCCCTGCATAACTATCAATTGAGACACATTTGTTTCTATTTTTGTGTTTTATAATTTAACCCTTTTGAATGTTGTTTTTTTGTGTGAAGATTAACTCTATTCCTACTAAACCTATTGAAGGACAAAAAACTGGTACCAGTGGGCTAAGAAAAAAGGTTGGTAATTGTTCTATTCTATTCTATTCAATTCAACCCTTTGATTCATTAGGTTTGATAAAAATGCTCACATTATGATTGATTATAATATATTTGTGCATGCAAATTGGAATTGTGTTTGTTTATATATGGTGAATTGTTTTGTAGGTGAAAGTGTTTATGCAAGAAAATTACCTTGCAAATTGGATTCAGGTTTGTGGAACTCTTTGCAATGTATATAAGATTATATGGTTTATGTGTTTTTGCTTTGTAATGTATGTTAAACTTATGTGCACTTGTAGGCACTGTTTAATTCGTTACCGCCGGAGGATTACAAGAACGGATTGTTGGTGTTGGGAGGTGACGGTCGATACTTCAATAAAGAAGCTGCACAGGTCAACTTTTTTGAATGTGTTACTGCGCCATTCAAATTTGAATCTTGTGTTACGAAAATTGCTTTATTTCTAATTTGTTAGGTTTGTTTTTTTTGTGTGAATTGCAGATAATAATCAAAATTGCTGCGGGAAATGGTGTTGGAAAAATTCTGGTTGGGAAGTAAGTTTCAATTGATTTTGGTTTTTATTGAATTTGTTGCAACAAACAAGATGAATTACTTAAATCAAGAGCTAGTAGTGAATGCGATCTGTTTTGAATGACTTATTTAAGTTTATATGCTAACATAAGTACTTGTAAGATTGTATGGGAGGACTTGTAGGAACAACATACGGTGTATTCATAAGTTATTTTCAGTTTATTTTCATAAGCTCTTCACGGTAGCTTATAAAAATAACTTGTAGCTTATACGGAAACGATTTGACTTTATTTGATCTTTTGTTATATAAGTAACTTATACTTAAGCAGTTATGCTGTAAACACTTAAATAAGCTGTTTATTCAAACAAAGGCTAAATTGAATACACGGTTTTCTTTTCTAATGCAGGGAAGGGATATTGTCAACACCAGCCGTTTCTGCTGTGATAAGGAAGAGAGAGGCAAGCAAAATGAACTCCTTTTCTCTTTGGCGATATTTTTGGTATATCGAGATAGCATAACATTTTCATTCAACTTTCTTTTTTCTTCTCATTTTCATAAACTTCAACAGGCCAATGGTGGATTTATTATGAGTGCGAGCCATAATCCTGGTGGTCCCGAATACGATTGGGGTATTAAGGTGACTTTCCTAATTAATTCTCATCCATTTAAAGGTCATGGATCAGTTGTGTGATGAGTAATGCCGATAGGTTTCTCTCCCTGACATTGGTTGATACCTTGAAAAGTTTTTAATTGAGAAGTAGCTTTATTTTTTTGTCGATATTTTGTATCGATATTGTACTTTGTAGTCAATGGCATGACTGTGTTATGCACAAATCTCGGTTGGTGTTTCTGATAAATTTCTTTGCTGCTGAGTTCAGTTTAATTACAGTAGCGGACAACCTGCACCAGAATCCATCACTGACAAGATTTACGGAAACACTCTATCTGTAAGTGTCCCATTCAAGTATGCCTTATTATTCCGATCCTACATTCTGCTTTTTGAAGTGTTTGACTTGCTCACTGCCTTAATTTTTTTCTCAACTTTTTCATACAATTTCCATTTACACAGATTTCCGAGATAAAGATTGCTGATATTCCCGACGTTGAGTTATCAAACATTGGAGTTACACAATTCGGAAGCTTCAGTGTGGAAGTAATAGACCCAGTTTCTGATTACCTGGAGTTGTTAGAGGTCAAAATAATTTGTTTTCATTATTATAATTCAGTAGAATGATTCATGCAAGCTTGATCTCAGTGTTGTAATTTTTATTTCATCATTTCAGTTTATTTGTCATTATTTTTCGTGCAGACAGTGTTTGATTTTCAGCTAATCAAAAGTCTTATTTCACGGCCAGATTTTAGGTACAACCTTAACATTTATTCCACCATAGTCCCATTATTGGCGCAATCTCTCGAAACTGATTGTGTTATTAAAATTTTTTATTTTAGGTTTACATTTGATGCCATGCATGCAGTTGCCGGTGCTTATGCAACACCGATTTTCATTGATAAACTTGGTGCTAGTCCGGTATAGTTCTTCCTCTTTTACTCTTGTACGGAGTAGGTACAAATTTATATAATGTTGTTGATTTTTGGTGTTAACTATGCAATGTAGGATTCAATTTCAAATGGAATACCTTTGGAAGATTTTGGACATGGTCATCCCGATCCTAATCTAACGTGAGTTTAGTGTTTTGCTTTCAACATTGTGTTTTCAATCATTAGTAAATTGTTTTTGATTGTATAGTTTATTGAACAGATATGCAAAGGATCTTGTCAATATTATGTATGCTGAAAACGGACCTGATTTTGGAGCCGCTAGTGATGGTATGCGAGATTTTAGTTATTTTTGTCTGCATTTTATGTTTTCTCGATGATGTTTATGTATTTTAACTTTTGTTCAGGCGATGGTGATAGAAATATGATTTTGGGAACGAGTTTCTTTGTAACTCCTTCAGATTCTGTAGCCGTTATTGCAGCCAATGCAAAAGAAGCGATTCCGTACT